TCTGGTTCAACCTGACACTCTTCTGCTTGAGTTACAGGCTCTGCATCCCTTTTAGCTGCAGCCCTCGTAACAGCACAAGCTGCAAAGTCAGAAAAACCCTGTTCACACTCATGGGACTCATTCAGAACTCTAGATTTAACAGGTAAAGAATTGTCAGCCCAGACTCGATTTCCAGCCAAATCATTCCCCAAATCACATGTACGCCCTCAAGTGGCAAAGCAGGACGAACACCAAGGCAGATATCATCATCCACAAAACTGCATGACAGCCTGACTTTATGCAATGGAGCACAGATAGTGGTTAAACCCATGCCTTGAACAAGTACACACTCACCAGTACCCTGTGAAAATGGCAACACGGAGGCTAAGATAAAAGAATCCTTCGCTCCTGGACACGCAAAATCTTTACAGGAACTTTATGAACATCACCCGGGAGTGATACAAACCCATCTGACACAAAATCCTCCAACCCCGCATAGCTCTCTGAGTCAGACTTAGTCGAAACTGGCATCTCCCGAGAGACTACTGAAATTTCCTGTGCAGGAATGGTAAGAGCCGCAGGCTTAACCTGTTTGCCTGTACACGCCAACTTGCTTTTCAACAAGGGACATTCTGCTTTCCAGTGTCCATCGCCATGGCAGTAGTTGCATGCTTGACCAAACTTACTGGGCTTCACACCACCAATGGCCTTCGCACGGTCCGATGACATAAACTTAGTTTGACCAAAAGCTCTAGCGGGAGCACCAACTGAAAAACAGTTTCTACCAACCTGCTCCTTATGTGCCAAGATATATTCATCTGCCAATTTAGCAGCGTCAGAAACGGTTGTCACTTCCCCTTCAGCAATGTAAGTGGCAACCTCAGGAGGAACACATCTTTAAACTGCTCCAATACCATCAACTCACATAAATCCTGAAAAGTTGTCACTCTCAGTGCCGAACACCATCTGTTGAAGTGTTTAGTTAAATCCCTCGCAAACTCTATATGCGACTGCTTATCAGACTTCCTCCATGATCTGAAACGTTGACGGTAAGCTTCTGGTACCAACTCATACGCCTTCAGAACTGCATCTTTAACAGTAGCAAAACTCCGACAATCAACTGCACTGAGTGCTGAATAAGCTTCCTGAGCCTTTCCAGTCAAAACAGACTGTAACATAATCACACAGTCAGCTTCTGGCCATCCTCTCAATTCGGCAATGCGTTCAAAAAGGGAGAAAAACACATCTGGCTCTCTTTCATCAAATTTCGGCACCAAGCGCAAATTACGCACAACATCAAAAGTTACAACTCCTTGTGGAGAAGACTCTTTAGCCTCAACACCACCTGATAACTTGCCCGCCTTGATTAGGTCTAGCCGATACTGCTCTAGCTCCAACTTTTCCTTTTCTAAAGAATGCCTTACACGTTCTTTCTCAATCCTCAGGTTGTCTCTTTCCATTTGTAAGAGTAACACCTCCTTTTGCGACAAAGACAAAAAAGACAAAGCAACTTCAGTTGAGACCACAGGCTGATCAACCTCAGCCACTACAGTTTTCATTTTACCTGGCAACACGCCTTTCTTTACTAATGCAGCCTTCAACGCTCCTTTAATCTCATCTTTCAACCGTTTATCTCCAACGTCGACATCGTAATGTTCAGCAAGTTTCAAGAGTTGTTCTTTAGTACAACTATTCAAGAGTTCCTCCGATGGAGACTAAACAAAAACATCAACAGTAGCCATAACAGCAAAGTATTGATTCTCGACATGCAATTGAAAACAGCACTTTCCCACTAACTGCCTAACCAAAATCTACTTAACTAAAGCCTAGTCTTCATGCAGTTACTTACGGTGGGTACTTATGCACTAAAAACCGCCAGAAAGAGAAAGGCAACTGCACAAACAGCGACCCCCTCAATCCTGGGGACGTGCTCCCGAGACAACTGCTCTAACCGTGTTCACCGCAACAGAAATTTCAGTGAATGATTCTCAAGAGAGAAACACTCCTTCAACCTAACAGGGAAAGCACTGATTTTAACTCATGCACATTCAATAATCAACACAGCGCATGCCGTAGCTCACACAAAGTTGACACAAGACAGCACACCAACAGTAGCTCCAGTAAACTTAAGTCTACAGCAAAACAACAGTATTAACATGACTGCCTCCACTTAATCTGCCTAACCAAATGGCCTCCCAAACACAATACACAGCAGACCCAGAATAACAAAGCACCACAAATAACCAAACTGATCAGCAATCAACTCAACAGTTGCTTACAAGGCAAGTCCTAGCCAAGACACAACTAGACAAGCAGCTGCAAACAGACCAGCTCTCAATCAAATGTTAGAAAGCTTACCAAACCAGGATAAT